GATTTATAAGTTTATGTGTAACCTAAGATCTCCTGCTACCCCCCACCCCCTAAAATATTAGCTAATATATGTCAGCGCCCTAATAACATTTAAGTAAAAAAATTATCTCAACCAATAAATCACAGGTCAAAGTTTTAATTAATTTTATCAACCACATTAGCAATTTTTCAATACATTTAATAAATAATTTAATAAAAATTTATTAAATAGTATTACTTTTTTTTTTTTTAATATAATTAAAAAAAAACTCATTTTTTCAAAAATTTATTAAATATTAGAAAGAAATATATAATAATTGATAAAATTAATATTTTTAAAATAAAAAAATTTAGTATTCCTTTTACTATCCTATTTATCACATAGTGTCACACCTCCCACTTTTTCATTTTTACTATTTATTCCAGGAACTTAGAAATTTGTATATGAAAATTTTCTATTCGTCACCATTAGATATCACGTTTCACGTACGTGAATTTTTCTTGGTACCGGGGGATATGAATATCCTACCCCTTAATCCCCTTAACCTAACCCCTAAACTAACCATAATTCTAAAGCAAATTTAAAAAGAAGTCCATTGAAGGAATAGTTTATATAAATCATAAAAAACCATTTTTACAAAATAAAATTGTTTATTAAATCTTTTCAAAATAATTTCATCATATCCATTATTATAAATTTAATAGTTTTAGTATTTTTACTAAGAAATAATATTTATTCCCAGACATTTTATTATATTCTAAAAGATTTTATTTTTTTTTCATTATTTTAAAGTCGAACATTATAAAAAAATGAATTACATAAAATAGATAGATATTACAGAAAAAGGAAGCGTAAGCGTGGGACACTTAGAGTTGAAATGTGGTGTCTGTCCCCACAGTTGATCAAATAATTTTTTAAGTATGGTTGATCCACTAATTTGAACGCTTCGGACGCTCCGACGGTTCCCGTTATCTAGTAAGTAATTAATTATTTAAATCTTTTAAAAATCATGTTTAATGATCTTATCATATATAAACCTCGCTAAATGTGTCTATATAATAAATTGACACATTTATTGTATAATCATGTCATATAAAATTTTCCTTAACGAACTTATATCTCACATGACTTTTATATATGGGACCTTTTGCAATAGAAAAGGGGAAAAAATGAAAATGAGTTAATGCTAAATCTGACCTAAAAGTCATAGCATATAAAAGTAAAGTTTATTTTTTTTCGGTAATTTCACCCTTTCGATTTCAAAGGTCCATACATATTTGTTTGGATGTATTAAGTTATTTTAATGGTTTAATTTAAAGTTTTCCAAAATCATCACACGAATGATATACACAATAAGTTGGTAATTAATAAATATTTTAAAGACAAATAATAATTGTATCTCTATTTAATTGGATGGGCAGAACTTGAAAAAATAAATTTACTAAAGCGCAAACGATATGATTGGTATCGATCTTACAAATATTTTTTAAGATTTAGTTTGTGAAACAAAAAAAAATGGCCAATGAAATCAAATTTCTAAAGCTTAATTTTAATTGTATTAATTTGATTTATTTTTAGAAAAAAACAACTCGAATATCATTTAACAAACATGGAAGGTGAAAATTTTGTACAAGCCGAGCCAATTGAACGAGAACCAGTATATGCTGGAGTTCCAATTGATATTTATTCAAATACCATGTATGGCGTTTTAGACGGAATATGTAAAAATTATGATTATTCATCTGATAAAGATTCAAACATGGGTAATGAGAATTCGGACTTTGAAGAGACAGGAGATTTGAATATCGAGAGAAATGATAGTAGCGAAGACTCTAGTGAAGATGATGACCAAAGCTCGAGCGATGCTGATACAGATTCCAATGAAGATTCTGATAGTGACGGGTCGGATTCTAGTGAGGATACTGATGATAATTCAGAGGAAAGTTCAGTATTGGTGGATATATCAAATGGAAATATAAACGTTGAAATGGACTCGGACACAGAGACGGATTCAGTATTGGAAAATGATGGTTTTGGAATCGATGATCCGATACCCGAGTTGACTGAAGAAGATGGGCTAGGCTCGGAACAATTAGAATTACTTGGTAAGACAAAATCGGAAATATAGATATATTAAAAATTAATGGATCTAACATAAACGTATGTATTTTTTCTTTATTAGAAAAATCAGAAAAAATTCGAGAATTTTTAAAGGACGATTATTTAAGAGAGATAATACTGGAGATTGATCATTCTGCAAGAAATGATGATCGCAATGTTGAAACATTATTGGATAATATAAAGAAAAATGATGAAATGTTTTATCATTTCACTGAAGAGATATTGAATGTAATATATGGACCCCCTAAAATGGACTTTTAATAATTTTTAAAAAAATGTATTTAAAATTCTTAATGAATGCTTTAACTAAACAAATTAAAGTTTACTTTTTATATTCTCATCACAAACTTTGACCAACATTTTACCAGTATTGTGACCATTGAATAATCTCAATAACCCTTCCGGGGCATTTTCTAATCCTTCAATAATAAATTCCTTTCTTTTAATTTTTCCTTCCTGTATCCATTTTGAAAGTTCATTAATCGCCTCAGGATATCTTTTAACATAATCAAGACTAAACATCAAAAGAAGTAAGATTAATCTTTTACACGATATTATTTTTTTAATCATCATATATATATATATGCTTACATGATAAAACCTTCCATTTTGGCGCGTTGAGAAATCAGAGCTGTATAAAATGCAGGACCTTTGGGTTGCGCTTCGTTATATTGACTAATAGCACCACATAAAACAATTCTACCATTTTTAGCAATCCTTTTTAAACATTGATCTAATATATCACCACCCACGTTATCAAAATATACATCGATATATCGTGGTGTAGCTTTAACTAATTTTTTTACAAATTCAGGATCACGATAATTTAACGCTATATCAAATCCCAAATCGTTTACTAGCCAGTTACATTTTTCTTCAGATCCTGCTATACCTATTACACGTGCTCCTTTGATCTTTGCAATTTGACCTGCAATATTACCCGTGGCTCCTGCAGCCTATTTTAATATAGGAAGGAAAGAGAGAAATGGTTAAGAAGTCTTCGGAAAGGCTGTGAATTTAGGAAGTTTCGTTTTACTTACTCCGGAAATAACAACTGTATCTCCTGGCTTTGGTTTACCTATAGATAATCATCTTTAGATTTCTTATCGAAATACAAGTCCAGGGTAAAAATGACTTACCAACTTTATTCAAAAAAAAAAAAAAAAAAAAGAGGGAAGCAAATTTCCAATGGATGAAATAATGAGTAACGCGTCAACCTCGAAAAACACGGTTGAAATTTGTTAAAAGATACTTACTTTCAAGTAAACCGAAATAAGCAGTCAATCCAGTTTCACCAAAAATCCCGAGATAGTCATGAAGGACTGCACCAGGCGGTGGACTAATATTCGTCAGATCGAGAGGATGGTGATATACATGCATAAACAACAAAGACATATAAATAAATATGCTTACGTGATTTTTTTAACATACTTGCCATCGGTTAGACCATATTTTTGCCAACCTATTTTTAAAATTATACATTAGTTTTTATTTTCCTTTTTGTCTTAACTGATATTAATAGTTACCTAGAAATGCTTGAACCATGTCGCCAACTTTAAATTTGGGATTTTTAGATAAAACGACCTCTGAAAAAGAAAAGAAATCATTCATTTTAGTTATCATTAGGCTTATTTTTAACAATAAAAGTTTTAGTAACACTTACCGCCGATAGCATTACTACGCATGATCTCGTTTATTTCTAAAATAGAATTCAGTTAATAAAACTTACAACGGAATTGAAATTTACTTGAACGTGAAATGATTAAAGATTACCTAATGGTTTTATATAGCTAATATGTCATAAACCAATCACATAAACTTAATAAATTTTAATCAAGTAAAAATTAAATAAATTTCAAATCGAATAATTTACCTTCTGGTATCATTCATCCATCCACGCATAGCTAATCGGTCAATTCAATTAACTTGTAAACAACTTGTAGAAAATAAATAAGAAACGAGACGAATGAATTAATTATCTTGCCTGGATCCAATGAAATATAATAGGTCTTTATTAATACTTGATCGTCCTTTAATTCATTTTGAGTAGGCAAAGGAGATTTCAAAATGGCAAAAGTTTCCTTTGGATCAAAATAGCCTGGTGCAGGACGTTTTACGAATCGAATTTGTGTATTTTCTTTGGACATTTTCTTAATAAAAATAGAAAGGAAAATTTTTTAATTTTTATGCAAGGTCAAACCTTGTGATGTAATTTTCTAATTTCGAATAATTGGGTGTTTTGGTGATCAAAACAATGATCATTAAATTCTGTTGTAATTCCCAAAAACCAGGTAACGTTAAACTCTTCACGCATTTTTATGCTTGCGTCGCGTCAGATGATATCGAGCATAAACCTAACATATACCAGCATGATCTCGGTTCCAAATTGTCATTTCGTATAACTTTCAATGTCGAAAAACTTGGTTATAAACTTGATTCCAATTTGAATAAGAATTTATTTGGATTCAAAGAACGTGTTTACGCGTAATTAATTTAACCTTGAAAACTTCCTACGCTTATCATGATTTCAGGGGATCAAGAAAAAAAATAATTGTTCCTTGTTTCTATTATTGGTTCTTTATTTATTTATTTTTTTTTTTTTTAATTGTTGATGACTTTAATTAATTTTGTTTGTTTATATTATATTTTTTTTTTTGAACAGATCAACGTAAATCAATAATCGACAACACTGTCAGGAGGGAGGGGTCTCTTTCACATTGATAATAATTTGATTGGTATATTTTTTAAGCGTGAATTGATAACAATTGGTTATAATTTCTATAATTTACAGCTTTGAAATTATTTGTTTTTGTTACATCGTAAAAATTAACGCAGTTTAATAGAGTTAAGAAATTGTATTTTCGGCACTTTTGCTACTTGGATGTTGTATGACTGTCCACCATAGCTTAAAAAAACATCAAGTGATCTTCAACAACAATAGCCAAGAAACTTACCATTTAAGAGTACTACACATAAATTTTTTGACTAGAAAGAGAATATACATACAACTGTAACTCTTCCATTGTAATAACGCCAATCTTTTTATATATAAATTTATGTATTCTATGTATCTATATAAAATAAATCATCTTTCCCCCAAAAAAAAATTTTTTTTTTTTTTTTAAAGCCTTCTTCTACCTTTGAGAATTTTAAACCTCTTTTTATTTTCTTTTTTTTTTTTTTATTCCCCTGCTTTTTTTTTTTTTTTTTTTAAAAAAAAAAAAGCGATTTTACTTGATTTTTTTGTATTCGATTTTTTCGATATTTTCGATAACTTTACCAAACCAAAATACTCTTTATATAGTAAAGTCGGGACTATTTTTCTTTGTTTCAAAACCTTATTCTGTTTCACATTTTTCGCGTCGCGCTAATAATTTTCTTGGTTGTAATGATAGTGTTAACCTAATAAGGACTCGAAGCATCAAACAAAATTCCAATTTTAAAGACGAACTTAAAAAAATTATTAATTTTCCCCGGTCTCAAAAAAATTTTTTTTCAGATAAATAAACATTTCGTCATTGAATCATATCACTCCTAATAACGTAATCGACTAATACAAAAGTTAATACTTTTAACGACGACTTTATCGTCTTTCCCATATAACCCATAGTTTTTTTTTTTTTACCTTTATACATTACTGGTATACAACGTACGAAAATAAAACCATTTACCGTTTATATATATACATACATCACACACTCTTCTCTATTATACAAACATTTTCATAAAACATGTTTGCTCCGAGATCTTCAAGACCCTTGACTGTTGCTTCTTACCCTCAGAATAATCGTGGCCTGAGACGTAAAAAGAAAGGCGAAAATGCCACTCCTGCTGTTAGTATCTTGGTTTTTTTTTGGATCAAATATAGAAATTATATCATAATGGTTCGAGGGAGGGAAAGAAACTTTGAACAAATATTGGGTGTAAAAAATGTGCTCAATTTAAAAAAAAAAAAGCTTTCATGTATTAAATTGGATATGCTTCTCAAACATCATCAGACGTTAATGAAAATAAAAAAAAAAATAATTTATTTTATATAGATTGAACTGGAACGAATTCTTGGATTAACAACTTCAAAACCAACCGTAATGGCAACTGCACCTTCACTTGATCTCGTAGCATATGCAGCTGGTTCTGTAGTGGTATTATATAACCACAAGAAAAATAAGCAAATCGCTTTTTTACACGCGTCATCAAACGCTTCTCCATCACTTGCTTTTTCTCAAACAAATACTGCCTCATCTTGGTCAAATGCCTTTCCGAATCGTCATACAATCGTTGGAGATGGTGTTTTAAATCCATTAGGTGCTTTGGGTTTATTAGAACCTCCTGCCAATGCTAATAATGCTAATAAAATCGCTGTTAGCAATAAAGCAAAGCCAATTTCTTGCGTGGCTTTCTCTCCCGATGGTAATTATTTGGCTGTGGGTGAGGTATGTATCATACGCATTAATGCGATTTACAAACGTTACACCGCATGCTCTATTGTTACACGATTATTAATTATGGAACTTACCATTTCATTTAGGCTGGCCATCAACCACGCATCTTAATATGGGAAGTTCAATCAAGAACTCTAGTCAATGAATTAAAAGGTCACAAATATGGAGTGCTGGCGCTTCGTTTCTCTCCAAATATGAAATATATCATCTCATTAGGGTTTCAAGTGAGTGGGACTTATCATTCAAAAATATCTATCTATATCCTAATATTTTAATTATATATATTTTTTTAATTTTATCAAATTTATCATGTCATCTTAGCATGATGGATATTTAAATGTGTGGAATTGGAAAACGGCCGTGAAAGTCGCGTGTAATAAAATTACTACCAAAGTTCATACTCTGGCATTCAGTCGTAACGGATCGTTTTTCGTTACGGCGGGTCTAAGGCACGTGAAATTTTGGTATTTCGACCCAAATGGAAATCTACCAAAGAAACCAGCTGTGAGTAATCTAGCGTATAGTAAATTCTAAAGGTTCTGTAAAAATAAATTTATTGAAAGCAAATTTTTTTTTTTTTAAAAAAAAAAAAGGGTCAATCCATACAAAAATCACTTGTTCAAGTGCTGGACGGACGTTCTGGTATATTGGGAGATTTGAGAGATAATAATTTTGTTGACGCGGCTTGTTGTCAAAAATCGGATCACACGTATTTTGTCACTTCTAATGGATTGTTATGCATGTTCACGGAGGGTAGGTTAATGGATAAATGGGTTGATTTGCAGGTCCGTGATAATTAATTTGCAAAGAAGAATTATATAAACATATGAAAGAAATTTTTAACAAAAATTTTATGTAAATTAAAAAAAAAAATTTGGTTTTGTGAAATAGGTCAAAGGCGCCTTATCGATTGACGTTAGCGACCAATATATTGTGTGTGCGTGTACGAACGGAATTGTAAGGTAAAATGTCAAAAAAACGCGTAAATCTCTGATATTTCGTTTCCGATTTGCCCTAATGCTTATATACTTTATCATAGGTTGTTTGAACCAATAACATTAAAATACATAGGCACTTTACCGAAACCACATCCACTAGGAGTTGATTTAACCTTACAAACTGGAACCACCTATTGCGTTGGTGGTCCGAATGATGTACATCCAGATACAGTTGCAGTCAAGTTGGACGCTGAAACCGGAAAACTCACTTGTATATATAGTGATCGTAGTTTTTTCATTTGGGATGTTAAAGACGTAAAGAAAGTGGGAAAATATCGAAGTTTCTTATGCCATTGTGATACCATATGGGGTGTAGAGGTAAGTTGTTCAATCGTAAAGGAAAAATGTAAGTTTTAAAAAATATAAATATATATATATATATATATTTCTCCCTTTCTAGATGGTTCCTAATCGCGACTCTACGGCTACGGCAACATCATTACCCGAAAATACGTTTGTCACGTATTCCTCTGATAATACAATTAGATTTTGGAATTTAGATCATAATAATTCCGGTTCCAATGGTGGAATTGAACCCGGGGCTAACAATCTTAAAAGAAATATTTATAGTAAAGAATGTCTAAAGATTATTTATGTCGATCCCGATGGGAACTATAAATCTAGTGCTGGTGTTGCTCCCACAAGTAATGATGCTGGTAGGTATATGAATGTTTTAGAAAGATTTCTCCTTAAAGCAATTTTGTCATTTATTAACATTTTTATAGAATCGTTGGAACAGAACGCGGGAAATATTAATATGCCTGTTGAATCTAGCATTCGTACTTTAAAAATTAGTCCAGATGGAAAATTGATGGCATCCGGTGATCGTGGAGGAAATTTAAGGTATTAAGAAAAAATATATTTACTCATAAAAATATATCTTTTATCAAGTGATTAATTTCTATTCGAAATTTTTTTCAGGGTGCATGATCTTGATACCTTTAAAGAAATGACCTATCAAGAAGCACACGATGCAGAAATTTTGGCTATTGAATTTACTGATGGTAGTATACACGGTAAGTGAAAATGAAAGGGTAATGTGATTAAAACCATTATAATTTATATTTTCATTTTTTTTTTTTAAAACAAAAAAAAAAATCAGATACACCTTATTTGATCGCTACTGCGAGCCGAGACAGAATATTGCACGTGTTTGATGTTAATAGTAATTTCAAACTAATACAAACGTTGGATGATCATTCTTCATCGATTACGGCTATAAAATTTACTAATGATGGTGGAAGATTGATTAGTTGTGGTGCTGATAAGAGTATCATATTCAGGAGTCGAACAAATGTATGTAGAAAATTTAAAAAGGTTGATTAACTATATAGATATTTATTAAAAATCAAACTTTTTCTATCAGGCCGGCTCTTATGTATCCCATCATAATATATCAGGAAGAGCTACAGTGTTTGATATGGATATTGATATATCAAATCGATATATTGCGACAGTGTCTGGTGAACGTCGATTAAATGTGTTTAATATCGAAACAGGAAAGAATGTTCGTTCTTATAAATCCGATACTCCTGAAGAAGTTAACGCTCAAGACCAAGGAAGCCTTCTTAGGATTTCATTGGATCCTGGGGGTGTACACGCAGTTACTGCCGGTTCTGACAAAAGTATTAGGCTCTTTGACTTTTCGAATGGTGCTATATTGGGTAAAGTATTGGGTCATTCAGAATTAATTACAGGAGTTAAATTTACACCGGATTGTAAACGTATCATATCAACATCAGCGGATGGATGTATATTTGTATGGAAAGTCTCTGACGAATTAGTTTCTAAAATGAGACAAAAATGGTTAGATAGAAGTGGAGTTTTAGGTCAATCAATGGAAAGAAATTCGCCTACTCTAAAAGATATTCTTTCACCTACCTCATCTATTCTTCCAAGAACAAACATGCCAGCTCAGAGAACTCAGTCACTTATGATGGATCTTCAAGTAAATGACGATCAAGAAACAGAATTTACGATAAGAAAAGGTCCTTTAAAAGCAAAGAAATCTCTTGGATCTCTTACGCCAGCAGATTATCATACCGAAGAATCTTCGATAAGATTAAAGAGACCTGCATCATTTGCTAATGATGGTACATCACCACATCCTAAACCTATTCAAGTTACAATTTCAAGACCTGTTTCGGAATTCTCTCCAACATCTCCAAAATCATCGGAAATTGCATATAGTCGTTTACCTCAACCTACTTCACCTCCACCACGACATACAGTTTTTTTAGATCATGTAATGTCCACACCACCAAATAGTCCGTTATCACCAAGCCCTGCAAAAAGAGAGTCATGGAAGAAGCTTGGGCTTTGGGCTAAAAAAGCTTTTAAAGAAAAAGAGGAAGATAAAGGAAAACCCAACAAACAAGAGTCAGGAAACATGACATCGAATATTATATCAAAAGATGAATTTAACCCTGTTCAACCCGAAAAGTCAATTATTAAAGCGAAATCACAAAGTAAATTGCGTCAAAGTTCAATTAAATCTGTTGATTCAAATGACATGAACGCTGATGAAATTAATTCATTTTCTGATAATACCTTGTTGGATGAATCATTAAATTTATCACCAACTTCATCTTGTCGACCTCGGCCTATTGTTGTTGATGATTTTGGCGATGGTGTTGATGACGATGAGGAAGAAGATAGTTCTTTACCAGTTGAAGAGAATACGGGTGAAGATTCATCAAATGACGATAATGAAGACACCGAAACAATATATATTGAATCACAAGATGAAGAAGAATTTGATGAAACAGTCGAGGATGAAAGTAATTCTTCTAATAGACGACGTCGTAGAGGTAGTTTTGTTGGAAGTATTAAAACTGTAGAATTTGTAGATGAAAGACCAAAGTCGCCTTCAGGAAGTGATAAAGATGTAGAAGTTGATATTAATGGTGAAGAGGAGGAAGAACAGGAAGAACAAGAGGAGGAGGAAGAGGTGGAAAGCGGAGTAGATAATGCAAGGGAATTGGAAATGTACTTACAAACTCCCGTTGAAAGTTGTTTTAGCGAGATTATACATAATGGCCTAATTTCTGGAGAAAATGATGACATTTCAAGGAAACGTCAGAGTCTTACGATGAAATTTTATTCTGAGAGTCAACGGGAAAGCGTGAATTCGAATAAAGGAAGTAATAGTTTAGTAGAAGCATTAACTAAAATCATGGCTAGTCCTAAAGGAAGTGATGTTGAAGGGAATGAAGAAGATTTAAATAGTAAAGAAGGAGCTGAAAAAGCTTTAGAAACTTTAGAGGGAAAACCTGGTGAATTGGTTAGTAAAGAGTGTGAAGCTAATGTTGAAGGTGAAAATCAATCGTCTTCATCGAAAAATACGGCTAAAAACAATGATAAAATGTCACCTTTAACAACACCTTCGCTTAAGGTGGTAATTCAGAATGAAAATGGAAGTACTATCATTCAAGGAGGATTCAAAGGACTTGATGAAAAAGGCGATGGTCTTGGTATTGTTGTAGATGATGATAAAGTCATTGATGATGGTGCCGATAATGATGGTAACATTTTTTTTTTTATTTTATTTTTTATTAAAAAAAAATAATTGTTAATTTATTAAATTTATGATAGAACCAATTACTCGTCGTAGTACAACGAACACCGTGGTGTCAGAAGTGAATGAAGATGGCGTAATGGAAGACGTTTTATCGTTAGCAGTTGTATTGGAGAGAACACTTGCAGCATACAAGAAAGCATCATCTCCGAAAACCAAGAACGAATCTATCGCAAAATTAATCTCCGAAAGTTTAATAGGTATGATGGATGATATTCAAAAAAGCATCGGTATCAACGTGAATGAGCAACAATTCCGAACAAAGAATAGGTCGCCTGAAACGCCCGAAATCAATGAACCAATTAGCGGTAATGATGCTGACCATGATGATGTAGAATCCAATGTTTCTTATTCAACAGCATTAACAACAAATAGTAATTTTGTTGTTAATGGGTTACAATCTTCACCTCCATTCAACAACAATAATAACTCAAGCAAGAATTCATCAACTAGATTATCACCATTATTAGAAACACAATCTTCTCCCCCATCATCATCTCAACGTCTTTTAACATCCGAAAAACAGCAATTATCTGAAGGTCATACACAAAAACTTTTAGAAAAGTACTCTGACATGTTGGTTAAAATGGTGGAAGAAAAGATGTCAAAAGTTAATGCACCATCACAAACTAATGAGACTACTACTTTAGTCACTTCACCTATAATCACAAATGGAACGAATGCTAATAATAATCATATTAGTAGTATTGCTACTATCACCTCTATTTCTAACGGTAAAACAACTAAAGGTAGAAGTCCAAGTGGTGGAATTCCTATAGGCGTTGGCAGGTCCAAAACCTCAAAATCTTCTAGATTTGTGTAATTATTTATATAAACGGACTTTTAAGTGTTTTTTCGTATTAGATTTAGAATTAGATAATCATTCATATAAATATATGTAACTTATTATTTATATCATTTATATCATTCTTATCATTTTGTTTATGAATATTATTTAATTAATACCAGGGGATACTGTATCCTCTCTAAACTAATATTCGATCAATAAAATAGTTGAAAAATAAATCATAAAATTTATCCACTCATAGTTTCTTTAAATTATTTAAATTCATTATAAAATATAATAATTTTATTCTTTTTCGCTCATATAAACCATTATTTTTTTTTAAAAAAAAAAAAAAAAAAAAAAAAAAAAAGAGCGAGTTTTCAAGATCTTTTTTTTTCTTTTTGCAATATTGTAAATTTGAAGTTTCTTATTAAAATTGCCAATATAACCTTCATTCACACAAAGTTAATTTACAAGCACGAGGACCCGTCAAGAACGGAATGTAAAGCATAATTCGTTTTGAATTGAAGTGAGATTTGGATGTAACCAACGCGACAAAGTTATAACAATTGTAAATCAATAAACATAATAAATTAGAAATCGATTTTCGCAAAATTGTGAAAATTTATTTGGTTCAAAGTGAAATTGGGATTTGCGCTTTGTTCATTATTTGAGGTAGTGAACGAATTAATATTGTTGATTGAAGTTGATACTTAAAGATAAAAAAAAATGGGCCAACACGTGAGTAATTACTCAAAAATCCGCATTCCACGTCTGCCTAACAGAACTATTCCTTGGACCCTTTCATCACTCACAATATACAAAGTATCATTAAAACTTAATTATTTGATATCAAATAACATTGAGCGCAATAAGTACCTTTCCCAATAATTTGGACCTTGACGCGAAAAAGTCCTTCGTTTCGTCGTTTTCGTCTTCGTCTTCTTCGTTTTCGTTTCGTCGACTTCGTTCCGTCGTTTTCGTTTTCGTCGTTTTTCGTTTCGTTTTCGTAACTGTGTTTTGTTAGTTTTATTTGAGCGAGAGAGAAAGGAAGAGGGTACTGATTATATATGCCAATCGTGTGAAACAATCGAAATTTTTGGAATAATTTAGAACATATTGGTCGATCATGTGAAATGTCTCTCAATCTGCGAAAAATATACATTTAATACATTACCTAAACTTTCTTATTTTAAAAAAAACTTTGTAAAAAGCCTCTTCTATATAATTCTTTAAATACTTTTTGCGAGTAACTTTCTTCTTGAATAACGATATTAATTTTAAAGCCTAGCTTTATATCTTTTTTATAAAATAAATAAAAAAAAAAATTTTTTCATAATTATTATAATTTTTTAAAAAAATAAAATTTTTACAAAAATATTTTTATGTAAAGTATAATAAAAAAAATATATTGTATTACTTTACAATCTTGCACATTCCATAATTTTCTTCATACATCATTTAAGTTTTCTGATATTTTTTCTGCTTTTTTGAGAGTAAAGTAATACTAATACTAATAGGATTACTTTTTGCTTTTTTTTGCCTTCTTTTTTTGTTGAATAATAGTGTTAATTTCAATATTATGTTTTTGGCATCCAACTGTAATTCTAGTTTGCAATTTTTCTACATCTTGTTTTTTCCAATTTCATAGCATTCAAAATTCTTTTAAACAAATTATAATCTGATGAATTAAAAGCTAATTTTCTTAAATTTATATTTGCAATCATTCATTATGTATAAAAAGAGAATCACCAATATGTCCACTCAATAAGTTGATTCTTTCTTATTTTGATTAAGCAGAAAAAATTCTTGATTTTAAATTATCTTGATTTCTTAAAACTTTCTAATATTTTGTTTAATATATTTTAAACTAAACATTTCAATGTCAAAAAAATGTTTATAACATATTTAAAAGCATTTTAAAATCAATATTACTATTTATATAAGAAAAAAATTGAGTTGTAAATTGAGTATAATTACTTTTTTCAACTATTAGAAAATGTAATATATTTGCATATTGTAATTTTCAAATCTAATTTCCAATTTATGTCCAACCCAAAATCTAATCTAACAAATAAAAAATATTATACTTTTAAAAGGTTATTTTGTTAAAAAAGAATATCTTTTATTGATATTGTTACCGGGTTCGTTTTCGTTTATCTTAACGTCTAAGTTAAAAGGCTGCGGCAGCTGATTCTACACGTTGGAGTTTCCAACCTTAGGATTTTCTCTAAATCCTACAGGTATCCGTTATACTAGAATCAACTCGGCAATTTATCACGTCTTAGAACT